TAAACACAGACCGGTTCAAAGGTTCTTCATCCATAGACGACACAAACCGTTTTCCTGCTTCTCCTGCAGGGGGTGCTACAAACATCTAACCCTCTTCTGTTGGGCTGTACACCCCCATACAAAAAGGAGGGAGTACCACAGGTTTTACACAGACCATAGTTTGAGAACCGCTGCTTTTGCGCCTACATTCTCAATAAAAATGTAATTGATTAATTTATTCTATATAATCTTTGAATAAATCAAATTAATTTAATTTACTGAAAAAATAGGAAAAAACAGCAAACTATAAACAGGGGTCAAAGGTCGTGCTGATGAATAACCACACATGTAGTTTACAGAGGCAGAGAAAATATGTTGATATGAATGTGTACTACATTTTCAAAGTATTTTATTGTACTCTTCATCTCTGTCTGTCACATATTTTTATTTTTCTGTTTCTTTTTTCCTTGTGCATGGATTTAGCAGCTGTCTTTGCATGGCACTCACTCTCAGCTAACCTCGTCCCCAGGGCTGCCCCCGCTCCAGCTTTTTTTTTTTTTCTTTGCATTTTTCTCTTCATTCAACCTGAATTTTTATTCCAGACTTTGAGTTTTTCCAACTTTTTCCAACATTCCTTGTCCCATCACTCCGACCTCCGTCTCCAGTTCACTTCACCGGTGATCCGGACTCCACCGTCGTTAACGAGAAGGCCGCTGTGCCGTGTCTTTGTCTTTAGGGGTCCCACTACCTACAGGCCCCCCAGGCCGGAGGGAGAACCAGTCGGGCGGCAGACCTCGGCACGACCTCAGAACACTTGGAGGCCAAGGTGGGCAGGAGAAACATTCCTAAAGTCTGGCGCCACCTGGATTGTGTTTTCAGTCTCTGGTGAAATTATGGAGAAAACACAGCGTTGTTTTCTACCTTCTTAAATCATGGTGGCAGTAAATGACTGCGTCTCCAGTGGCAACGTGGTCTCCTGGTTTTAAAGAGGAAAAGTACTGCGTCTTCCCACGCGCTGTTTTGTGGAAGTTTTTTTTTTTTTTTTTTTGCTTCATGTGAAGACGCAAAAACAAGTGAACGCATCGAGACGTGAACACCTGGAGCTGAACCGGAAAATTGAGAAAAAATGGTCTCGTGATTTGAGTCGTTATCAATCATAATCAATGATGATTAATCACAGAGACTCAGTGATTAATTTGTTATCATTAATTTATTTTCTAATTGTCGCCTTAAAAAAAAAAAACAAAACCAACAAATCTCAGTCCTGACACTGAGCCGGTGTTGACACAGATGTTGGAGACGTCCCTGCTCTGT